CAGGCGGACGACTCCAGCGGCATCGAGTACAACATTGACGGTACCGGACACCACCGGAGTTCTTCCCGCATGCCCGGTCCGAAGGGCCAGTGAGCCGTTGGCTGACTATTTTGGGCGGCTACAGGTATTTACAGATACCGTGGCTGCCGCCAAGGCTCAGCAGGAGGTAGCAGAGGCAGAACGTCAGCGGCTGGCCAATGAGGCGGCAGCCCAAGCTCAGCAGACTCCTGAGGCTGACGCAGCGGCACGAGACCAACGGAATGCCGCCAGTACGGAGTCCCTGATTCATAGTGAAAGTCAGTGGACAACGTTCCTCCAAGGCATGATCTTTGTGCCTTCGGACGCGCAGGCAGATCCGACACCGGCGGAGGCAGAGAGGACTCACCTGGCTAACTTGATGCTGGGCATGATGAGAGGCATCATGTGGAATAACACACTGTTGCAAGCACATCTGCGCACGGAACGACAACAGCGACAAAAGTACCAGCAAGACATTGCTGTTTTAACAACTGCCATCCGCGTCGAAGCAACGCAGCAGCAGCAACAACATCAGCTGTTGAACTCCGCTCTCGCACGCATCAACAGCATGGAGGCTAACGCCTCAGCAGCGCCAGGCTGCACGACAGACGCTACGAAGCAACTCAATGAGCGCATCGATCACGTCGTCACCATCATTGGCGACATAGGTGTTTTCAGTAGGCCGGACACGATCAGTAGCACAGTGGCCGCCATCAAGACGGACATCACCAAGCTGCAGACGAGACCGAACGCCGCTACAAAGACTTACAAGATGCCGCACTTCGACATCAGCAAGTTTGACGACTACAACAAGTCGGACGCCTTGACATGGTGGCAACGTTTCCTCACGAAAGCATAATGCCGCACTGTCCCGGCAGACGACATGATGAAGGCACTCTACTTGCAACTAATTGGAGGAGCGCAGGCTTGGATGAACCATCTGGCGGCTACCAACAAATGCACCATCGCCGAACTCCACACGCACATCACGTGGACAGAGTTCGAGAAGCTATGGTTCACCCGGTTTATGGTCCGCAATGTCGTGAAGGCGGCCATGAACGAGGTGTACACCTGCTCTCAAGGAAATATGCCAACTTGAGACTGGACAACCAAGTGGCAGAAGATAGTGACCACGCCAGGATTCGATTTGAGTTTTCCAAATCAACGATCCGAGTTTTTCTCGCGATCGTGCGCGGGACTGCGGTCGGCACTCGGCAACGAGTACGACTATGACACGTTCCAGGCCATTCTGGATCGTGCAAACTTAATCATCCAAACGGATGACAAGGCCGCAAACGAACGGTAGTCCTAGCCGCATTATGTGGCTAAGCAGGGCTATCAACGTCCGACACATAACAATGCCGTGATTTCTGAAGAAACAGACGATCTCCACGCTGCAGCAGCATCCTCGAGTGATGGAGGAATTGTAGCAGCGCTCCGCCGAAGCGTCCCAAGAGAGTTCGGAAGAACAAGGCGATACAAGAGACAACATCGACGGGAACTGGGCAGCAGCCATGGACGGCTTACAAGATAACCAAGGATGTCTATGACCTTCGTCAAAAGTACGGA